GGACTCCCCAGTTCCCCCTTGTTAGCAGAAAATAAACACAAGGGGCCAGTTGGTTCTAGCCCCATGGGAGATGGTGAAAGTGGCCCCTTGGGCAGCCGGTATTTGTAACACAAGTGCTTGCTGCAGGAAATGAGGCACATGGGCCTAGTGGGGCTGCCCCACTTTCCACGCTGGGGCCCAGGGGGTAAAGGACTCTTGAGCCCTGAAGGGGCCACTCCATGACAAGGAAGCCAGCTGTGAGGCTGCCACTGGGGTGGGTCATGGGCTGGCGTCAGTCCCCGGCTCTGCCACAGACTTCCCACGTGACCTGGGGCAAGTCACTGAATTTTCCTGGCGTGTCAGATGGGGCTGAGGCCTCCTTTGCCTAGTTAGATTGTAAACGAGCTCTGTCTCTCGCCAAGCGCCCGGGCACCAGGCGGCCCCTGGCTCGAGCCAGGTGCTAGCCTGGTGCCAACCGGTGCCAGCGCCCCTCTGAGCAGCAGCCCCAGATTTCCTCTCCCAGCTGCACTTCCAGGTTGTTCTAACCCTGGCCGGTTTGCAGGAGCAGAGCTAATCTTTAACCCTTTCTTCTCCCCCCATCAGCGCCTCATTCATCCTCCACTTTACCATCCTGTTTGCCTTTCAATTGCCTTGCTGCTGTTTGATCTTGTCTAATGCCCCCTTCTTTACAGCCTGTTGTAGTGGCCGGAGAGATAATTCTCGTTTCCCAAATGGAGCTCTTGGGCTTCTGTAAATAGAGGCTGTGCACACACATAGCTCCTGCCCAGCTGGGCCCGTCTGAAACCCAGCACCTACTCCAGGGACTCGCAGCCCACTTCTTCGGATGCCCACGAAAGCTTATGTCTAATAAATGTGTTCGTCTCTAAGGTGCCACAAGTACTCCTGTTCTTTTTGCGGATACAGACTAACACGGCTGCCACTCTGAAACAAATCAAAGCGTCTGTGAAACGAATGGAAAGGGAGGCTGGTCTCTCTCCTGGTGGAGGCCTTGGACAAGCCGCCTTGGTTCCAAGTCCCAGTTCTCACAGACTCCTGGCGTGATGGCGGGTGAGACACTGATCCCCTGTCCCCAGCTGTACATTGGGGATAACGCTTCCTGTCCAAACGATAAGCTCTCTGAGGCTGCATTTGAGTCTGTACCGCACCTAGCACAATGGGGCCCTGATCTCGGGCCGGGCCTCTCGACATGCCCAGAGTACGAATGACGCCAACCGCCGAGCCCTACCAGCAGTAGACGGGAGTCCCATCTGGTGGCTCTGTCGCTCTCGGAAAATAAGCCGATATTGCAGGGCGGGAGCTATTCAGATGAGGGAGCAGAGGACAACCCAAGTGTAACTAGAGTCTGCTCTTCCCTCTGGCTCCTGGCCATTTTGTCTTGTTCTCTGAAAGATCTTGGGGCAGCAGCGGCCTCCATATTTGGGTCCTGTACAAATAACACTTCATAATAAAAGGATTAGCAGCACGTCACCGAAATATGCAGCCGTGCCGGTCAGGAGAAACGCCCTGGCGCCCCACGCTGGCGCACGCGTGGCCTGTCCAATGCCAAAGCTAATGCTCCACAGAGAAGGACTTCCCAGTTTTCAACCCAGTGGATGGAATTTATTCTAGATAACAAACAGGATTGTGAACTAACAAGCAGCCAGCTGATGTCCAGGCAGTGCGTGCTTTGGAAATGAGTCCAGGAGTTCTTGGTAAAAGGGGAAAGATTTGCATAGTTGTTTTCCCTTTGGATTACTGCATTCATTTACTGCAGTGCTCCACCCTTATAATTAAAGTCAAGTGATGAAAGCAACTGGTAGGGTAGCTTTGGATCCAGGGGCAGAGAAGCTGTGTGCACATTTACCTTTGTGGGTAGCATTATTATTGCTGTTTAAATAGTCTTCTGGCTTCTGACTAGCAGAGGGCTCAACCCCAAGTTCTTCGAAAGGTAGGGAGAGATGGAAAGCCCCGGAGCGGGACAGGCTTGGGGAGATAACCTTATCGCTTCTAGACAAACTCAACAGTCAAAAAGCCATTCCTGGTATTGGCTGGAGCGAGGCCAGCCCAGCTCAAACCAAGAAAGGAAGGTGTTGGAGGCTGTGTCCTCCCAGCGGGGTCTTGGCTGGGCCCTTCCTCCCAAGCTGGCTGGTCTCTTCAGGGGTCAGTGTCACCTGCACCTGGCTTCACTGATACCCCGAAGTTTGCCCCCCCTCTCCGGGCTGGCAGGTGCTTTGTTCCCGCCTGCCAGCAGCACCAGGCCATGCTATCCTGGGCCACCATCTGCCGAGCCTGCTGCACACGGGCCTCAGGCCCCGGGTCTACATTCAGGCAGTTCTCAGCGTGGGGAGGAGCCCCAGGCAGGCACATGGCCCCCGAGTGAAGTGGGGACGCCAGACAGACACTCGCACTGCATGGGCCAGTAATGCACGCTCCGGTTCACCCCGCGGGACCCACACAGAGCCCTGAACCCCCCCAACAACATTCCTCCAGGCTCCCCCCACGGGCTCCAGCCGCCCTGGGAGCTGGCCCGGGGCGCTGATCTAGGGCAAAGCCGGGCCGGGCCGGGCCGGGCTTTCACTGGCCCGAGCCCAGAGTCCCCCCCAGACCCCCCAACCTGCCACCTGACTTGGGGCCTCTTTTCGCACTAGGCTCTGAGCGCATCCAGAGGGCGGGGCGGGGCCTAAGGGCTTGGGGGCGTGTCCTCCGTCGCTGTGGCCAATCGTCGGAGGATACCTCTGAATATCCAAGCGGGTGCGGGCCAATCAGGGCGCGCTGGGGATGTTAACAGCTGGGGAGCTGGCCGCGCTGCGCTAGATTTGCGCTGCCCCAGAGAGTTCTCTGCTGCCCGGGAGCGCAAACCCCCCTCGCCTGCCCGGAGCCCAGCGCTCCCGCAGCGCGCTATGGCCGGGGCCGTGGGGGAAGCTGCGCTGCCGCCCATCGCCTCCTTCGCCAGCCTGCTGCCCGTGGAGGACAAGCGGGGGCCGCTGCTCCACGTAGGTACCGGGTGGGGGGCGCTGCTGGGTCGGGGTGTCTGTAGCGACTAAGGTACCGCCACTGCCCGCAGCGCTGGGTGGGTGGCGGCGGAGCAGCGCCAGGGAAGTTTTTGTAGGGTCTCCAATAACTGCGGGGGGGGCGGCCGGGCTGGGGCGAGGGGCCCGCTGCCGGGTGGGGGGCCTGTCAGGTGCGCGGGCGGGGGGCGGCCGGGGATGGGAGTCGGTCCCTCCTTGGGCGGGGTTGGGGTCAGGAGGGTTTGGGGTCGGCTCCCACGAGGCAGCGGCTCGGGGAGGACCCTGGGTGGCCCAGCTCGCGGGGGGGGGGGGCTGCTGGCTCCGTCTGACCCCGTTCGAGGGAGCCCGGGGTCACTGGCGCGCCCCGCCCTGCCCTTCCGAGGGCTCCTCGCCAGCGAGCGCAACCCGTTCTGCTGGTTTGGGGGCGAGCGTCTCCTCCGGCTCCGGGGCGCCCGGCGCTGCGCCCGGCCCTGACTCCCCGTCTCCCCGCCCTGCAGCCCCGCTTCGCCGCCATGGAGGGCGGCCCCGCCGGGATCAAGAGGGAGGAGGACGACTTGGGCAAGTTCGTGGACTTGGATTTCATCCTGGCCCACACCAGCAGCGCGCAGCAGCCGGGCCCCGCCTACCCCCTGCCCGACACCCCGGAGAGCTGCGGCACGGACGGCGACGGCTCCTACCCGCCCGCCAGCAAGTTCGGGGCCCCGTACCCCGACAGCCACAGCTACATGGCCGAGCTGCTCACCGCCGACCTGCCGGGCCCCTGCGAGCTGCAGCGGAGGGAATACACGGAGCTGCGAGTCCCCGGCGGGCTGGGCCACCCGGCCCTGGCCCGGCCGCTGCCCGCGGAGCACAGGGCGCCGCAGCTGGGGGCCCGCATCAAGAAGGAGCAGCCGGAGGAGCAGGCCTGCCTGCTGGGCATGGCGGGCGAGTGCCTGGGGCCAGGCGCCATGGACCACAAGCCCCTCATGATGCCCCCCCAGCAGCAGCTCTATCCCCCCCACCCCGGCTTCCCCCACCCCAGGATGGGGCCCCCCGAGGAGATGGGGCCGGCGGGGGAGTGCCACCTGCTGGGCGACCTGCACCCGCCCCTGGGCCCCCAGCACTACCCGCTGCCCCCGCAGCACTACCCGGGCCACTTCGCCCACGGGCCGGCGCACTTCCATGGACACTTCAGCGTGTTCCGGGAGCCGCTGAAGGCGCCGCCGGGGCTGCACGGGATGCTGGTGACGCCCCCCAACTCGCCCGTGCTGGATTACTTCCCCGTCGGGGGGCCGCCGGAGCACGCCAAGCCCAAGCGGGGCCGGCGCTCCTGGGCCAGGAAGCGCACGGCCACCCACAACTGTGAATACCCGGGCTGCGGCAAGACCTACACCAAGAGCTCGCACCTCAAGGCGCACATGCGGACACACACCGGTAAGGCTGGCTATCCTGGGGGG